AGAGAAACCTTTATATGAAGAACATGTGACATTCTTCAATGTATGTTTTTTGTTAGGAAGCAAGTGGTGTATAATGACTTGTATTCATTTGTCTATTCATACATCAATGAACCATCTTTGTTGTTTAACTTATAGTACACTTACTTAAAACACTCTACGAACCAATCCATGTGGATGGAATTGTTAGCTTAGTGGATTTCATACATTTGAATGTTTCCACAATAATGAGCTTAAGAAATACCGTTTTAATCGCTTGAAGAAACTACAATCTTTAAAAATGCTTCAAAAAGGCTATCATTTCTTAGATTCTATGAATAAAGTTATTCATATCTTATTTAGTTATACACTAGGGGAAGTAAAGAAAAGGGTGTATATCTAGGGTCTTGAGATATTCTCTAGTACCAGGAGGTCTTCAGTATCATGACTATATGGCTCCATTTGAATTCTGGTTGGGAAAACTCAAAACTTGTGATGTTTACCCACCTTGCAACAAAAGCTTTAATAACCTTATAACACATCAACAGCATCGCCTTCTCGGGGTTACATTCCTATAATTTTGAGCACAAACGTTTTAACATCAGCAAAGAAGAATTAATAGCTCAATTGCAACAGTAATATTGTCATTACTAAACCAGACAAAGGAAATATTACTGTTATTTTGGACAAAGAAGACTACATTGACAAAGTAACACAGGTAATTAGTAATACTACTAAATTTTCGAAACTATCGAAAGACCCCACCACTTCGAGAGAAAATACATGGATTAAATTCCTGTCAAGTTTAAAGAAAACTAATGCCCAGTACAATAATACTTGTAATGACATTAGATAACTTGGTGCCCTTTTAAATCTACTGTTTTCGACAAATGTTGTTTTAATTACCAACTCTCTAAATTCTAATTTTTAATTGGTTTTACTTTCAATAGTTACACAATCAAAGACAGCTTTAACTTTTTTATAACGTTAGAAATTTGAGGTTTGATGAATATGTTTATTTAGCAAGTCTAGATATTGAATCTCTTTTCATTAACCTTCACATAGATGAAACTATTAACCTTTGTGTTAATCTTGTTTTCAAAGCCAGGGAATGTGTTAAGGAACTAAATAGACAATCTTTCAGACAACTGATGGAAAATACCACGAGAAACTGTGTTTCTCAGTTCAATGGTAAATTTTATGAACAGATTGATGGACTCAGCATGGGATCTAGCCTAGTGTCTGAAATGGTTAAGATTTTCATGTATTTTTGTGAGAATAATTGGATAAGAGATTGTTTTACTGAGTTCAAACAACTTATTTACAATTGCTATGTTGATGACATATTTGTAATATTTAAAAATAAAGATCATTTAGTGAAATTTGTGAAATATCTGAATTATAAACATATCAACGTTAAGTTCACCCGTGAACGCCAATAGTGCTCAGCGTTTTGATGTCAGTTGTTATCAGAAACCCACCTACCAAACTAGATATCCACTTTAACAGTGTTGTTCCATTTGTGAAATGTCTTACATCTCGTGCTCACTGTATCACCATTTCCCTGGAGCTTTTACAGAGAGAGTTACTCACAATAAGATCTATTTTATAATTCAACTCCTTCCCAAACAACTTTATTGATTCTACTATCAATAAAACTGTTCAACAACTACATTTGTCTAGTTACTGAACTATACGTCCCAAAGCAAGTCTGTCTACCGTACACAGGCTCACACTCATGAATCTTGAAGAGAAAACTAAACACAATAATCAACATAGTCCATCCACAAGTTCACCTTCAACTCGTGTTCAGACTTTTATTTGAATTCAGATGTTGTCAGGTTTAAAGATCGTACACAGTTTTCTTAATAGTGAAGTATTGTTTAAGAATTATGCTGCCCAACGTGTGGAAGCGCTTACATTGGATCGACTATTAGCAGACTTGGAGATTCTTTAAAGAAATATTCAAATTCTAGGTTTAAGAAGAATTCAAGCATTGTTTGGCATTTGAATGTGATACGGTCCCAACCCACAGTAATTGGTAAAGCCGAAAACGAAACCATGTTACGTGTGTAGGAGATGCTTCTAATCCTGCAAATGAAACTTAAATTAAACAATCAGCAAACAACTATTGAACATTTACTCACAATTTAGGAAATTGAACTTTGTTTAAACTTTCGCGCTCAACTGTGTAATTTTGATTGGAAAGTATATCGAAATGATAATTTGTATTTTACAAGATGAGTCTGTGTGTTAAACTAACAGAAGCTGTGCTTCTCACAAAGAGGTGTCCACGCTATGTATTCAAATGCAGTGTATAGGATCACTAATTTTGATTTTTGCAACTTTCGAGTTGCACCCCTGAGATATCAAAGTCACCTCCGAGTATTGTGTCCTGAGGTTTGCTTTGTTAACGAGACTTTAAATCTTTTTTGTTTTTTTGTTTACATGATATCCCATCTGTTATTAATTTTTACAGCTAATAAAAGATATAAGAAATTACTTTGTAGTCACTTAAGCGTCTTTATCTGTTAGAAATAACTAGTAAAACCATAACTAAATTTACGACGATTCATTTAATGAATGTTTCTCTATATTAATAATTGTCAAAAATTGCTATGTAATACACGAAAAAAAAGTGAAGTTTGCAATGTACATAGTTTTTCGACTAATTTTCTCTTTTGTATGACTCATTTACAAAAATACAGTTTTCTTAAGAATATTAAATGTTATGTCTCACAGTTCTCACACAGTAAAACTATATTTAAGACCATTCTAAGACATTCTACATCCAGGGGTGGAACAAACTTTTATCAAATTTCCTTTAGTGGGGGTCTAAGTTAAATGCTGGTAATAAATCTGTAATTGTATCTTTTTTATATGTGTGGCACCTCTGAAAAATGTGACATCTTGGTGTTAAATTTAAATTGAATAACTCTCGAGAAACTGAGATAAATCTTTAAACAAATGTTAAAATTACAGAATATCATATAAACGTTACAATAGAAACGATATTGGATAATGATGGGTGAAAACATTATGTGTTTTTATAGTGTTTGTTCTACATTTCTTGTTTTATTTGGACCATCACATCTAGAAGTATCCTGTTTACAGTACTTTAGGCATCCAAATGCAAGAATATTCTTTGGGTTAATGGTAAAATTTTGTTAAGTTCTTTCGGATATGCCAATTTGTAAGTATAAATGGCCTTCATAAGCCCAAGCACTGCTGAGACAAAACCCTTACACTTTAACTCAACAATGCTATCAGACTTTCCTTCTGAATAGCTAACATATCTCTTTTGTAGCATATGACAATTCTGGCAGGCTGCAAATAGAATTTGAAAAACAATAAAAATTTATGAAAAGCACACATTGAGAAAGGTTTATTTTGGCAGATAATTAAGTGACTTTTTCTTACATATTCAAGAGAATGAAGAATCAACTCACATTTTGTTCCTGCTGTTTGAAAAGAAAGCTTTAATGAGAAATAAGAGCGTATTCTATGAGGAACATGTTTCATCCACTACTGTTTATCATTGATGTATTAAGCACCCTCACAGTTATACCTCAATAGAGTGATCCTTTGAGTAAAACATTATTTTTCTAATTCTTACATAAAAGTAAGCGTTATGTGCAAGTTTCATAAAATTCATTGGGTTTCACTATGATAGAGGAAAACGTTTTAACTAAGTAGAACTTAAACTATACCCTCTAATGTATTTGATAAAATGGATTACAATAATAAACATTTATGGGCGTTAATCTTACCTAATGGTAATGTTGCATGCAAGTTACAAAAAATTCAGTTGAAGTTTACTTTGTTAACGATATGTGCATATCGAAAATTTCTAGATGCCGTCGTTGTCACCAAACAAATTGATTACTAATCTCCACGGAAGTACAAAAAAGTAAGCTGAAATGAAATTTAACTGCAAAGGAAAATTAACCCTGTAAATATTTAAAATGTAGGTCTTTCAAAACAAATTTTTACCTAATGACCGATATGCTATTTGGTTTCATTAGTGTAATGTTATTTCAAACAAAATAATAAAAAAAGTGAAAATATTTCTTACCTCTTCATACGTCAGCAACTCTGTATCTGCCTTAAAGAGATTCTTAGTGTATTCTATTACCAAACTTCGCAACCTAAATTGACAATAGTCCT